GGATGGCTTTGCTGCGGCCGCTTTCCATTCTATGTCCCCGGACTGGATTCTGGTCTCAGGACTGTCGAAACACCCTGGGGAGACTCCAGGGTTCTTGTTTTTCTCAGACCAAGGTCCTGTGACGCAGCATTGGGCCCAAGCTGGGTTCATCTCAGAAAATCATGCCCACATCGACTCAGGGAGGATTCTTGTGTTTTATATTCCCTTCCAAAAGGAGCTTCAATATCTGAGAGCAGTAAACACACACTGAGCACCGACTTTCCCCTTGACACTGTTTGAAGCTCTCTGCGCTTTCTAACTCATACAAGCCTCACAGCTTGCTGAGGGAGGGCAGGACCTTGGGCAGAGAGAAGCTAAGTGACTTAACCCAGGGAGCGACTTCACAGCTAGGACAAAGCAGAGCCAGGATTCAAACGCAGGCTCTGCTGGCAGGAGAGGAACGGATATCTGTTCCTCTAGTAATGTATCTGTTTCAAAGGGTAGCGTGGCTGCAGAGAACTCCTGGCGGCCATCAGAAGAGCAGGGCGTGTTCAGGCCCAGGACGGGGAAACAAGGTGGGCACCACTTCCTTCTGCTGCCCGAAGGGCTGCCTTTGTCAGAGGCATCAAGAGCAGAACAGGAATCAAAGGGTAAAAAGCTATAAGGGGGGATGCATTTGGGCCCAATAGAAGGAAGCACTGTAAACATTTATTATAAGATCTATAGACAAACAGCAAGCTTGGCCCCATTGCAGTTCCAAAACGATGTCACATCTGTGTCAGATCTCCAAGAAAAGCTTTTCCAGTAGTTGAGCTGGTCCCCTGGTAGATGGGGCTGCCGGCCTGCCTGCCTCACAGCAGTGAGCTCCGCGCCCCTGAGCAAGGACAGAGGGAGGCCAGACAGCCACTTGGGAAGAGATGCCTGTTCGGCAGGAGGGCGCTGGGGGTCCCAGGAAGCCTGAGGCTTGGGGTGGGGCGAGAAAGAAGTGGGAAGTCCGTGGGGCACCTCTCCCTCTCCTGCTCCCTTGCCCAAGTCAACAAAGATGTCACATCTCCCCTGTTCCCAAACCGGACCTCCCCTTCCCCGTCCCACCCCACTCCAGCCCTGAGCCATGGTTCATCTTACTTTATTCTCTCCCAGACTTCCTCAAAGCGCTGTCTGCACTCACTGCTTAAACTTCCCCTTCCTGATAGTCTTTTCCTACCCCTGCAGCCTACCTGCCCCAAATCTGCCCTTCCTGGGGCCTCTTCCCGCTACTCCCGGTGTTAAATCCAGTGGCCTTTTCACAGTCCCCATCCTCCCTGACCCTTCTGCAGCATTTGGAACTGGGAACCATCCCTCGAAATTTTCTCTTTGTTGAGAAAATTTCTCTTCACAGTTTTCCGTGAGCCTGCACTCTGTGCCCAGTCTCCTTTCCCCATGTCTTCCCCCCACCCCAAGCCCCCCAGTGTCAGTGGCCCCCAGAATTCTTTCCCAGCCTCCTCTTCACTTTGCACACCTGCCCCAGCACTCACAGTGCCAGCTGCCACCTGAATGCTGCTGTTCCTCGATGGCCTAGATTCACTTTCTATTCAGTGTCCAAAACCGGCCCATCTGCCTCCTGTCCTCTGCTCCCCACCATGACCTTGGCCGTGTTCCTACACACCTCTGCCTGCTTTTCCTCAGTGAGTAATGCCATCTGCCCAGTTGCCTGGTAGAAACCGCCATTACCTTAGACTTCTTTCTCACGATTGCCCCCTCCACCCCCCAGTACACATCAGTGTAGTGGGTCTATCTGCTTTTTCTCTTGAAACCAGCTCAGAGGCATTGCCCTAGTTCAGAGTCGCACTCTCTCTCTGCCTGGTGGTGTCCTTTCCTCTCTTCCGACCCATCTCCAAAATGCTACCGTGATTCTGTTCCTCAAACATTTCACTCTTTTCTCCCCACTTCCTCAAGCGTTTGCAGTGCTTCTGTGCCTCCTACAGTACAGGTGGGTTGGCTTTCAACTCCCTGGCACCATCCGCCCCCAGACCCCTCTGGGCACTCAGTGCCCCGGCCACATCCCGCCTGGGCTCACGGGGGAGCAGCACACTTTCCGGGACCTGGTTTCAGATTATGCTGGTACTCCAACCCCACCGCATGGAGAAGCAGGACGGGGGGAGCGTAGCAGTGGACATAGGCAAAGCCAAAGAAGCGGTGGCGGGATCCGGTGGTCTGGGAGGATGGTGCACCAGCCGTGGCTTTGTCCGTTGTGCTTGTCTGACCCACAGGCACCTCTGGGTGAGGGTGTGGCACGCCCCAGCTCCCAACCAAGCACACGGGCCTGGGTCCAGCCCTGACATTCAAGGCAGGAGCCTGGCTGTGATGTTAAGACCTGCTGTGAGTTCCCTGGGCTTCCCTCCCCCTCTCAGCTCTCATCTCCTACCACTCCCCTGCCTCGCCCCACCCTGCTTTCTTTTCCACCTTGCTGGCCTTCGCGTTAATCCTTAAATAGGCCAAGTTTGTTTCTGCCTTATGGCCTTTACACTTTCCACGTATGCTGACTAGAATGCGCTTCCCCAGGTGTTTGGTGGTGGTTTGCCTCTTCACGTCATGTCCGTGTTACAGTATTTTGTTGTGTGTAATGTGCACCCATGTTTTTGTGCACATTATACCTGGGATTATATAATCATTAGAGGCATGTGTAATTCGCATCCTTATTTTTCCCTCAAAAATTTGGGCAAAAAAGTGCACATTATACACATCAAAATATGGTAAACCAGGTACTGATTTTAAGGATTAAATACCTCCTCCTTACCCCCACCTTCATCACTCTTATCCCTTAACCCTTATTGTGTGCCTCCCCAGTCACTTGTTTGCGGTCTGTTTTCCCAAGTAGCAGGGCACAGACCTTGACTTGTTTGCCCCCCAAACCTGTGATAGCACCGAGGCCGGAGCAGGTATGCGATGGATGTTTCTGAGTCAAGCACAGTAAGGAGTGACTGAATGGTGAAGGGGAGTTTGGGGCGCGCGGCAGTTAGAGCTCACACCGAGGCTGCCCCTGCACTGTCTGCATCCACCTGGCAGGCCAGCAGTGCTGAGCCGCCAGGGGCCGCAGGCTCATGGGTGGGAGCCGGGGAAGGCTGGGGTGGATTCGTGCACGTGCCCTGCCCTCTAATGTTCCTCTGCCGGGTAAAATCCCTCCTGTCTTCAAGGCCCTGCTCCATTTCTACCTCCCCAAGGAGCCTTGCACCCCATCTTGAGCCCACCTCCTGGGTGTTCTCCCTCCCCACCGCTGCAGCCTCTCGCCACAGCACCAGTGTGACTGCTCCTTGAGTTATTCCTCCTTGTGTACTCCTGTCTGTCCCACAAGACTGAAAGCACATCAAGGGCAGGGGCTATGATAAAGCTTCTTTGTGTTCAGTAGTGATGCAGGTCCGAACGAACAAGGTCAGGTCTGTCTGGACATGGGCACGGTCACTGAACGTTCTTGGCCCCGTCAGGCAGGGCATCCCCGGCAGGAAGCAGGGCGGGCACAAGGGACACAGTTTCTCTGGAGCACACGAAGGGCACATTTGGAAAACCAGGCAGGCTTTGAATAAAGGCAGGTTGTTTGGCGACACATGCTCATTCCCGGACTGTGTGGTCTTTTACTTTCTTCTCACTCACCCAGGACTTACTGAGTTCTCACTCACTGCCGGCCTCTGCGATGCCCGCTGGGAGTGAGGGGAAGACGGAGGACTGGATGATTCGAGTTCAGACCCAGATCTGTGCCTCCCGCGGGGCAGGCCAGGAGGGGCGACCCCGCGGTTCTGCCTGCCTTTGCCTCCGGTCCTTCGAAGTTGCTGTCCTCCCGTGATGCTCCAGCTGGGAGTCCAGACTTCAGCTGGCTTAAGCAGATTTCTTTGCTTGCAAATAGCAAGATATTTCAAAGCCCGGAAAATCACTTTATCCCTTTTCTTAAGTGAGGACCTAATCCTCCCACCCCTGCCCGGCCATATCTGTTCTGGTGTGGCTCCTGGAGGTATGACATTGAAGTGACCCAGCAGGCGTCACCCGTACTCCCCAGGCCACCAGTGTGAGCTGCGGGGTGAACAGGCTCCCTGAGGCTGTCTCCCCCCACCGTCTGGGGTCCGTGGATTAGGCTTCTTGGTCAGAGAGCTTCAGGCGGCAGCGGCAGGGCAGGTCCCTGGGGAGCACAGCAGTGTCTGTGTGGCCAGCCGGGAACCAAGGACCCGCAGGGTGGGGCTGCCCTGCCTCCCGGCAGCTGATGTATATAATTACAAATTTGCATATGGACAGTTTTATTTCCTGGTTATTTACATGTATCATCAGTATCCATAAATGTTATTGTTTAGTCTTCATATTTGCTATTTTAAGATATTCACGGCACCACACCTTAGCACTTTGGACGTAAGGGATAGCAGTGCACACATCATGTTTTACCTACAGACCTGCCATTTTTCCAGTCAGCTATTTCCATGCAGCACGTTCCTAGGAAGGGAACGACCATGTAAAAAGAGATGGACGTTTTAATAGCACTGGAGCTGCGTTGCCCAAATTTCCCCCCAGAAGGCTGTGCTAATTGGCAGGGCCCGGGCAGTGTGTTTAAGCTGGTGCTCCCACGGCCTCAGCCATGGGAGGTGTTATCCTTTGTTGACGTGTGCTAATTCAGCAGGTGCACCGGCACCTCCGGCTCCTCTAAGGTGCGTTTCCCTGACGACGACCAGGAGAAGCATGTCCTCAGTGCTGATCTCCTCCCAGGAGTGCGCCCTTGGCCATGGCCTCCCTGCCGGGCAGCCCTGGGTCTCAGCCTGCCTCTCCTTCCACCTCCCTGCCTTGTGCTGTGTGTCACCTGTTGTGGTCTTTCCACTTCTGATTCCTGACTTCCTCTGGTTTCTCACTGGGCAGGCATATGGCTGGTTCGTGGGAGTCCCGGACAGGCCAGCTAGACCTGGACATCTGGCCGTGGGCCTTATCTAAGGCCTCTCTCTCTCGCACTGAACTCACGTGGGCCCTTCTTTCCACCAGGGACCCTCAAGAACTTCTTTTTATTTCTCCAGGTGGCCTCATCTGGGCTGATCTCCCGAGAAATGGCTGGGAGGGACCAGGCTGCCCCTCCGTGACTTCTCCAGTGAAGCGTTCAGGCTCCGCACCCTCAGAACAAGTGGACCTGTCACATGTACCTGCATGTCCTGGCAGTTGGGGACACAGAGGGGCCCACAGGGATGACAGCAGCGCGGCCTCTCTCCCTGCCCTTTGCCTGAGTGGCAGGAAGAGCTCACCTCTCAGGCAGAAAATCCAGTCAACCCCAGTGGATGGGTGGCCACCAGAACTCCGTGGAGTGGCAGGGACAAGGCGGGGCTGGCACTCCCACTGGCGTTGAAGGTTCTTAGGCACTGGGGGAGGCAGCTCGCCTCAAGGGAAGTTTTGCAGATGCACTGGGGGCGCCCTGTGCTGGCAGTCGCTGCCTGCAGGTGCTGTGTGTGATGTGTCTCGTCACTTTGGCAGGAGCCTCCGCTGTCACCTCCCGGGCCCCTCAGTTGTTAAAAGCCAGAGAGAAAGTCAGATGTCAAGTTCTATCCTCTTGTTTTATTTATACTGTTTTAAACATTCAGCTCTTTAAAAAATTATTAAAAAGTAGTGCATGCCTATTCTAAAATACTGGGAAAATACAGAAGACAATTAAGAAAATATAATCCTTGAGATCTATAGTATATATAATTTGTATCTGCTTTATTCACTTAAAATTAAATTATAAGCATTGTCAACATAACAAAATGTTCTCCATAAAGACTTCTAGTGACCGCATAGGAGTGTTTTGAGTGGACACACCATAAATATTTACTGTTACCTAAATGTTGGACATTTTATTTTTAAGTTTTTCAAGAGCATAAAAACACATTGAAGTAAACAACTTTTAAACATAAATCTTTGTCCACAGTTTGATTTCCCCTTAGTTCAGATTCCTGCTCCTCAGGTGTAAACATGTTCTAGGGCTTTGCATGTGTTTCTGTTTTGCTTTCCAAAGGGTGCACTAACGCATGCCCACCCTGCCACACAGCTACACCAAGAAATACCATTTTAAAAACATTTACCGACCTGAGAGACAGTGAGACTCTTGATCCCTTCAATAGATGAACTGACACGTGGCAAGGAAAAGGGACATAGCTAGGGCACTCCAGGAGTGCCACCTCATGGCACCCTCACAACAGCCCACCATCGTGGGAGAGGGGCCGGGGGCCAGCGCACAGGCACGGGGAACCTGCCCCGTCTGGTGCTCGGCCGCTAGGACGGGCCCAGGGCGACGGCTCGCAGCCAGACCCCAGAGCCCCTGCACTGCACCTCTTCTCACTGCCGTTCCCAGACGGATGTCGAGAGGAGGTTTGGGGCCAAGAGGTGAAGGAACTCGGAGTCTGGATTTACCCTGTAAACAAAGGGGCACCATTAATGGGCTCTTAAGCATCAAGACTGTTTTACAAAGATGTTTCTGGTGGACTGGCAGGGGGAGGCTGGAGACAGAGAGGCCGTTGGGGAGACGCAACCTGCAGATAATGTGAACAACTCAGAGGCTGCCCGGACGCGTGGGGGCTGCGGGCCATGGGCAGCCGGGAACACAGGGGGGCTAGGGAGGCCTCCTGCTGTGTCACTTGGCAAGGGCCATTTTTATCTGCTACACGTCAGGCAAAACCTGTGCCAACCGCCAAGGACTCCACCTCAAATCCAGCAAATAAGAGAGAGGACGGTATGGATTACGTTATATTTAAAACAAGCCCACACAATGCCTGTAATTTTTTATTCTGACTCCATAATTATAGCTCAAGACCAGTCAGATCATAGTTATCCCCACACCGACCTGCTGTTGGGACACATGGAATTAAAGGCTTGCTGCTCCAGATTCTATTTTGGATGCCGAGCACTGGCAGGTAACGGGCCTTTCACAAGGCCCGTCTTGTTGGGCCCTCCTGGGGCAGCCTGTAAAGGCCAGGCAAGTCAGCACCAGGCTTTTGAAAAGACCACTGAGTCTTGTAAGCAACTGGGATGCTGCAGCTTCGCCCTCCTGAGCCAGGGGTCCGGAGAGTTGAGAGAAGCACTGTGTTCAGAGTGGGCCAGCCTCCCTTGGTCAACCAGTCTCAGAGCCTCTGCCCTCCAGGAGATGCACGAATGCTGCTCTCCCCAGCCAGCCAGGGTCCGGAGTCCGATGAGCCAAGCCCTGGCTGTTGGGCACAGTGTTCACAGATGGGCTGGCACTGCCCCAAGGGGCCTAGTTCAAAAAAGAGAACAAGTCAAAGGAGCATGCCGGCCTGGGCCACTGCAGGCGCCCCTCCCAGGGGGCTGCACCTCTGCCTGTCTTGGGTGCCACCAGAGGACACCACCTCTCAGCCCCATGAAGACAGCCCTCACAGAGCCAGGGTGGGGTCGGGTCCCGCTCACAGACCAGAGCACCACTGCCCCTTCCTCCATGCGGCCCCCCCACCACCTGCCTCCCCATAGCCTGTGGAGGAGACAGAACAGCGCCTGTTTATCCGTCAGCTGTGGCAGACACTCTGCCTGCACCGTCTCATTTACTCCCGTCACCACTGCCAAGTAGGTGTGACTGCTGTTGCCATGCCCCCCACTTTAGTGATGAGCAAATGGAGCTCCGAGATGTGAAGTTTGGGGCTCAGGGCCACCTGGCTTGTAAATGGAGTGGAGCTGCAGCTCTGTTGTCCAAAGTTCCCAAAGCACACAGGTGACCGGCCTGAAACCACCGGTTCTGCTCCCAGTTGCTGCTTGGTGGTTCCATGGCCCTGGGCAATGCACTCAGCAAGCACTTGGGCCTAAGAAAGCCCAAACCCAGTACCTATTAGCACAACCCTCCTACTGCACATGGCCCCCCTGTCTGAGCCGAGTTCCAGGACAAGCCAGCCAGTGCCCTGTGCAGACCCTGGCTCTTATGTCCCCACAGAGAGTGGATGGTCCCCTCTTCTAGCCTCTGATGCATTTCACACACACTTCTAACATTTTAGGCGCTGCTCTTACCATTCACATGCTCTCCTAGACGTCTCAGGGCAGGGGCTGTGTCCCGTCTGTTAATAGTTTGACACCCAGCACACAAAAATTGCTTGCTGTCTGTTACAAGAAAAAAGAAGAGTCTGGAAAACACACATGCATCCTCCAAAACTCTGCTTAGTCTACATCCTAGACTGAGATCTAGGGGAAGCCTTTGCTGATTGGCACAGACTGAGTTGACCCTGGCCCCTCCTATGCAACCTGTGGGAGGACCCTTCGCACCCACCAGGGCAGGGACAGGACCTGCTTCTTCCCTGTGACCCCATTCCCCAGCACAGACCGGGCACCCAGCAGCGGTGAGGAAATGTAGAACTGAGTTGTTCTTTGTTCGGAGACCCAGAATAAGGGCACCATGACCAGTTCACCGGGCTGAACCCGCCACGAACTGGCATGCCAAGGGTTTTGCTGAGGAAGAGAACTAAAATAACTCCTAACTTTAAAAAGGAAACACACCAAATAGGTATTCTATTTATGCAAAAATCAGCTCTGTTTTTAGGTATCTGCCCTTCTGCCTCACCTCCCCAAGGTGGGCCCAGCTGTCCCATGGGTCCCCTCTGCACCCCACCCAGTAATCACGGCCCTACCTGCCCCATCCCCTCCCCTGTTTGCTCTCTGGGGTTTTCCTCGATTGCAGGGTGTGAGCTTCCAGACGCCCCAGAGGCCTGTCTCATGCCCCAGACTCCCTCCCAGACCTGCTGTTCTAATCCCAGAGTTTCCAAAGAACAAGCCAGAGCCAGGGCCCATGGGCCCCGGTGGGGAAGAGCAGGGAGTGGGTCTGTGACTGGGCCGCCCCTTGGCTGAGCCAGAGCAGGGCAGATTCACGCTGGGTGCACAGGAGTCAGACCCTGCTCCGCCCAGGTCTCTGGCAAACCAGCAGGACCCTGCTGCCTACATGAGTTGAATCTTGGGGTCCACTTGGCACAGTGAAGAGAGCAGCTCACAGTTCTGATTCTGGCTCCACTAAGGCTGCCAGCATTTAGCTCACCTACCTCCCTAAACTCCCCCAGCCTCAGAGCCTCCCTGGCTGAGCAGAGACACATATGCTATGCTGATCTGTTGCGCATGCACCATCTCATTATTCCCATCACCATGAGGGTCACGCCACGAGGCAGGGAAGGTCAGGGCCAGCCATTCTGGTGGTGGGACTGCGTGGGGAAGCCCCACGGGAAAAGGAGTGTACGGCAGAGAGCAGCACCCCACGTGTCCCGTGGCTTGTCAAGTAGCAAGCTCCTGGTCTGTAAGCCCCTTCTCTAGTCTCACCCTCACTGATTCCATCTGCTGCCCTGTCCCAGAGACCCCTGGGGCCTGAAAGAGCACCCCGCTCTCTGGCAAGGCCCCTGCTCCTCACGGAGGCCAACTGGGGCAAGGGTACTGGGGGCCTCCATATCTGCCAGCTCCCTCCAGCCTGAAACCTGGCTCTGGGAAGAGACCAGGACGGCCGGAGGCAAGGCAGGGCTTTGGCATCACACAGCACTCGGGCAGGCCCCCCACCAGCCACAGCTGCGGTTTCCAGAGAGCCGGGCCTCCCGCCACAGGGACAGTAAACTGAGAAGCGCTGTAACTATAAATGTAAAGTGGCACACCACGGGACACTGCCACAATCCCCCGGGGTCCTGCCTCCCAGTCTCTCTGCAAGCCACGGGGCCCGGGCCAAGCCTCTCCAACAGTCCAGACCTGCCTGCTGGGCCTCCCAACTTTGTGCTCTGAGCAGGGCCACGGGGGCTCCGACAGAGGTCCAGGGCAGAGGGTAGGCAGGACACTACACAGCACTTTGTACACCAATAGTTGGGGCCTCTGCTCACGCTCCATGAGCACCTCTTGTTTTATGTTATCCAAGAGGAGGGGGGCCCATCATCTTTTTGGAGCTTAGTGCTTCTGAAGGTCTTATTCCTACCCTGGGCGGCACTGAACCGCAGTTTCAGATCCTTCTGGGGGCTCCTTCAGGCACAGTCAGGGTGACCTTGGGGTGAATCTGGGGCACATGTGGCTCTGACTGGCATCCTCATAGGTACTGCCGAAAAGGAGACCCAGGAGTGGAACACACAGCTGATGAAAGAAGAGCAGCCCTCTTCACAAAGTGCCTGATTCGGGGCCAGCTCGCAGCTCTCAGAACCTCCGAAGGATCGTGGTGCCCATTTCATAGGAACGACCTGCGCCTGGTTCTCCCCAACTGTCCCCTAGTTCAGGCCTGGCCCAGAGCACAGTGCTAGGCAGGGAGCAGGGGCCCCTCTGCAAGGGTCTGGGGAGACAGAGGCAGGGAAGGAAGACCCCTCCTTCTCTGCCCTCTCAGAGCTGGCCAGGAAAAGGTGTCTCCTCCAACACTCTACTAAACAGACTGCCCCCTATCTCAGGCCCCTCCCACCTGACTAGGGCATTGGCCAGGAAAAGTAAGGTCACTCTTTGCTTGTGTCACCTGCCCTGTAGGAGAGCTCAGAGATGAGCCCTTGGGTCTCTGCAGAGGCCCCACACACTGGGACTGTCTGAAGCAATGTCCTGTCCATCTCTCTGGGCCACAGCCCCTTCGGGGAGAAGGATGGGGCTGGATGCCTAGGAAGCACCACCAGCCAAGGCTGAGGCCCTCCCAGGAGACTGTGAGGAAGAGCTCTGGGCTGGGCGATGGGGAGCAAGGGGCCTCCGACATCACTGCAGACCCCGGGTCCCCCACCAGGGCAGCAGCTGGGGCCTGGCTCCCTGCGGGCAACCTCACCCACCCACATGAGTCAGGCAGTTTCACTTCCCAAGTCCACCAAGAGGAAAAGTGAAAAACAGGTGGGCAAATGTTTACTACAAAACATTTAGAATTTCTTATTTGTAAGAAACTTTTAAGACTATACAGGAGGATATAAAAGAAGCCTCACTATGAAGAAAAACATTTTATTGTGTAGGATGATTCACTATTGTCATCTTGCACTTAAGGCAACCCACAAATCTGTTCCAACTCAGTCATTCACTCAGTATTTACTGAGGGCCTACTATGTACCAGGTGTCTTCTAGGCACAAGGGATAGAGGAGAGAACAGATCAGATAAAAATCCCTGTCAGATAAAATAAAGAACTAAAGGAGTAAGTTAGATAGTATAGTAGAACATGAAAGGTGCAATAAAGAAAAATCAGGAACAGTTCAGAGTGCAGGACAGGTGGGGAGATTACAGCCTAAAATAGGCTGAGAGGTAACATTGGAGCAGAGGCTCAAGGGAGGGGAGGGAGCGGGAGTGTCCTTTGCATGCTCCAGGGCCGCGACTTCCAACCTTTTCACCTCGTGGCACACATAAACTGGTCACTAAAACTCTGCATCACACCACAAAATGTATTTTTGCCCATCTGATGAAAAATTAGGTACGATTGTATGCTGGCTCTTGTCATTTTTTTTCATTTGACAATCTAAGGGAAAAGAGGTCCATGCCCTGGACTAAACAGTCAGGCATTGAATGTTTTAAGGATTCTTGTGGCGCACTGGTGTGCCGCGGCACAGCGGTTGAAAACCGCTATTTTGGAAACATGAAGGAGGACAGTGTAGCTAGCTCAGAGTGAGTCAGTCTCAGACACTTGGCAATGCCTGCAGACATTTTTCATTGTCACAGTCAGGGCCGGGAGGTGCACGGTTGCTATTGGCATCTGGTGAACAGAAGCCAAGATGCTGCTGAGTATCCCACAGTGCACAGAACTGCTCCCTACACAAAAGAATGATTTGGTCCGAATGCCAGTAGAGCTGAGGTCAAGAAACCCTGGAGAGAGAAAGAAACAGTAGTTGGAGAGAGAGCCAGAGGGTAAATGCCAAGCAGGTTTTTCTTGGAACTAGAGAAGCTGATTCAGAAATGCTTATGGAAAAATATGTGAGGATAGCTAGGGGGAGTAAACTAAAGGGAATAAACAGTAACTAGCTTCACCAGATGTTAACATGCATGATAAAGTCCTAATTAGACAAACGACTGATTCCTCAATATATAAAGAGTTCTTACAAATGAATAAGAAGAATCTTTTTTAAAAACTCAAAAAATGAGAAGAGAAACAGGGAATTTACAAAAAATACACAAATGGTTTATAAATACGTGAAAAATGTGCACTGTTACTTGCAATTTGAAGTAATGAAAATGAAAACCACGAGAGAGCATTTTTCAACAAGCAGATTAGCAAAGACTAAAAAGTTTGTGCAGTTGCCAAGGGTGTGTGAGATGAGGCCTCATGCACAGTTCTCAAGAATACATGTTGGCACTGCCCCTTTGGAAAGCAATTTGGCAATATGTGTCACATATTTAAATACATGTACTCCTTGACCCAGCACTTCATTCTAGGAAAATACAAAGATGCAAGTACAGACCTGTTTATGACAGTGTCAGCAAAAGACTGGAAATGACCCGAATGCCCGAATGCTAGTAGGGAACTTGTCTATTATGTGGTATATGATGATCGTGCAAGGGAATGTTATGCAGCTCTTAAAAAGGCGGGGAGGCTCACTCATAGGCACGCATCCAAGAGCAATGAAAACACATGACCACAAAGAGACTTATTCAGAGGATTTAATAACAGCTTTATTCATAATAGGCCCAAAGTGGAACAACTCAAACGTCCATCAAAGGAGAATAAACAAATTGCGGCATCTTTGTACAATGAGACACTCCTTGGCAGCAATAAAAAAAAAGAAATGAATGGGTACACACAACACGAATGAATTTCAAAAGCACTTTGCTAAAAAAAATAAATAAATAAATCAGACACAAGAGAATATGTACTGTAGGGTTCCCTTTATACGACGTTTACAGAGAACGCAAACCCCCATCACAAACCCGAGGGGCGCTGGCCCCTGGAGGGCGTGGTCGCCGGAAGAGGCGGGAAACATCCGGGCGGAAGGAGGCGGAAGTGGGTGTTGCTGGCACGAGCTGTTAGCGTCACCGAATTGAACACTTAAGATCGGTGCGATCCGCTGAATTTAATTTTGCCTCAATTTAGAAACAAAAATTATTGGATTAAAAAAAAAACACTGAGTCAAATTTCATATGTCCCGAAATGGAAGGGGGCTGCGGCGACAAGGCCGGAAAACGTGCTCGTGTGCGTCCACGTGGAACGTGGAGGACCTACACCTGTTCCGTAAGCTCGTGTGTGTGTTTCATCTTCAGGGGAATGTGTGGAGCTGCTCGCTGCTCCCAGAGCATTTCTAGAGGGGGGTGGAGGTCTCTGAAGTGGGCGGGACATGTCTCAGTACTTTTCACACTGTTGAAATTTCTTGTACTGTGTTCCCATGTTGTTAAATATAAAACCGAGTTTAAATTTCTTGACCGAGATTGAATTTTAGCATTGCTCTACCCTTGGTGACTGGAAGCAGGGACATCGATGCTGCCCAGGACTGCCTGCCAGCTGGCGGTGCACACCGGTGTCTCCGAGGCTGAGGCTGGGTGGGCCTGCAGATGGGCAGATCCGGGAAGCGCTGGAAGACGTTCCTTGGGCGAGGAAGTGGGAACGGAAGCCCTGGCTCAGGACACGGGCGGGGGGGGGGGGGGCATAAACTGTCCGATGGGCAGGATTTCAGCCAAAAGTGATAAGCTTTCTTTTAAGGAGTGCAAAATCACACCCTATTTAAGATTCATCTTGACGCAATTTTTTTTTAATACGAAAAGAAGTTGCTTTAGTGGGTTGGGAGACAAAGCTTGTAAGAGGCAGAGGGACTGGCGGGGAGAGTGCTGGAGGAAAGAGTTCTGAGTTAAGAATAGGACTGACTGCAAGGTATAGTCTTTAATCAATCAGCGTTTGGTCTTTTTTCCCACAAACAAGAATATGCCATTGAGGGCCTTACCCAAGAATGTCCGTACTGATTCTGAGAGCTGCACTCTGTGCTACAGTCGCAATTCCCTGCTCGGGTCCCAGAGCAAAGGCCTCACTGTCCACTCTCCTTGTTCTACCGGTGATAGGAGAGAGAACTTCACACGTCCCAGGGGATGCCCTGCGCCCTGGGCCTGCCAGAGGGACAGGAAATGAGCCCGACTGTAGTATCAGAGGGTAAGGAACCCTGGGGTCCTAACCTTTGGAATGTATAGAATCCTTGTAAACTCCTGGCAAAACAGTTGAAAGCAGTCCAAAAGTCTGATCCAGATGCCTTAGAGAGAACTGAAGGGTCTTGGGTAGAACCCCTTTACGAAATGTAAGAGGCAAAATATGGATGAGGAGAAGGTCTGAAAGGGCTTTCAGCAAATGGCTAAGACTCAGATGGGCACGGGGAGTGGGCTGTGTGATAGACTCCAAGCGCGAGACACTGTTGGGACTGGGGGCAGGACTGCATTTGTCCTGAGCAGATGAGGATCAGGTGGGGGGTAGAGGGTGACAGGCCCTTACAGATCCTCTAGTCTGGCCCCTCCCTGGGAGAAACTGAGGCCTAGAGAGTGGACTCTGTGTCAGATGTCAGGGCTGAGCTCAGTCAGGACTCTCACTCTAGCCTCCCCGTCCAGTGGGTCTCCTGGAGTCCTGGCCTTGGGGAACTGGAAGTAGAGCTGAAGCCCTTGACCAGACAACCGCATACTCTCTTCCCTCCTAGGAATATGTTTCTACCGAATTCCGTGGAGAGGCAGTCACTCAGGCAGGGCTGCAATGAGGGCAGCCCTCTGAAAGACACATAAAACCAGATCTTGCTCATCACCTACCCAAGAGCTCCCTGCTTTTTTCCTGCCGGAACCCAGATTTTGTAGTGGGTGGAAACTTCATCATTTCAGGAAGCACAGGCCAGCTCCCCAAGCCCAAGAGATGGGTCCTAATCGGTCTCATGGTATTCCAGTAGGATTCCAAGTACCCATTGTCAATGATTGGCCTAAGGATGACCATATGACCTCATTCTGGCCAATAAGACATAAAGGGAGGTCAGTGGGGGCTTCTGGGAAAGTTTTTGCTTTCCTAAGAAAAAGGAAAGATGAAGCAGGCACTGCCAGGCCCTCATCCCACATCTCTTTCTTCCTGCCTTCAATACAGATGTTTGTAGCATGAGGGTCAGGCATGGAGTAAAGAAAGGCCAGATGCCCTTAGGATGGCAGAGTGGATGGTGGAGCCTGAGTCCTTGGTGGCCTGAGTGAGCTGCTGGACCAGTATCAGCAGCGCTCTACCTCCGGACTTCTTATTAAGCAGACATTAAGTGCCCTTAGGGTATAAGCTACTATCACCTGGGTTTGTTTTTTTTTTTTTCTCTCTCTTACTTGAAGCCCAGAGCAATCCTGATTGGCACTGGCCAAAACTGTTAGCAACTCCAGCCAACTTCAAGAGATGCTGTATAGAAACAGCCTTTGATCAGCTTCCTCAAGCCCCCACCCAGCTTTCTTGTCAACCGTCAAGCAGATGGAGTCCAGTAGAGTCCTCCACCCACCGCACCGCATCCCCCCTCATCAGCCCAGCCAGTCCCACTCATCTTTCAATGCCCACCTTGGATGGCCTTCCCTGACGCTGCCCACTACCAGAATGCATGCATCTCACTGACCACACTGATTACTTGTTTATTTACCAGTCACACTTGTGGTGGCCTGCTCAGAGTCAGTCACGGTGCTGGCACTGGACCCAGCGGGCAGGGTAGGTCCTTGGGGAGCCCACAGACTGGCTGGCGGACAAGCCCACGGTGGAGGAACAGAGAGCGACAATAGGGGGTGGATCAGTCTCAGCTCAGTGGGGGAGCAGGTAGCCACTTTCATGCTGTTCTCTCCAAACAGATGCTTTGTTTCTTCAGGCAGCACTCAGCCCTGTCTGTTTCAACACTGTCCTGAGCCCATCTCCAGAGGCTGCAGCAGAAAGGGGCTCTTGTTCGATGATCTTCCCTGAGCAGGCAGGGCCTTGGAGTGGACTTGCTCTTGGCCACCCACTTTTCCCTGCAGGCCTTGTAAGGCCAGGGCCCTCAATGACTAGAGGAAGGAGCAGTGGACGTGGAGGCTGAAGATCCAAGTGCCACTACCTCGATGTGTGACGAGACACATGGCTTGCGTGGTTTCTCTGAGCACAGCCCTTGTTTGTCTTCTTAGAAGACAAACAAGGATACTAATACCTACCGCTGCCACAGGGCTGCTGCAAATGTCAAATGAGCAAAGTGGCAGATGCACCAGCTATAGGGAGGCCTGGCAGGTGGGAGGTGGGCAGCGGCTGCCTGTTCATCCGCCTGCCTGGCCCCCTGCACACAGCAGAGCACCAGAGACAGCACAGCGCACCTTTCCCCGGGAAGCAGATGGGGTGGTCGAGGTACATGCTCGGTCCCTGAGGGGGTTTCCTTGGGTTCCCATACTTTCTCCTGCCCTGAAAAGGGCCGTCATTGGACCTCGTGTGTCTGCTCCCGCCTCCCTTCCTGAGCAGCGGCAGGAGGAAAGAAAACGGGGCTGCTGGGGAAGAGGGTGGGTGTTGCTCACGTCCCCTCACAAGGGTTCTGAGGGTTCCCACGGCCATTCGGGGTCTTTGCTCCAGCAACTGCAGGTGGATCCACTCATAGTCAGGGGCCGTCTGCTCAGGGACCACCAAGTACTGCTCATTCTCCCTGACGCTCTGTCACCACCAGGCATGGCCACGAAGGCCAGTCAGCAAAGTCAAGGCTCCCCCCAGGGGCGCTCAGACCCTGGCAGGACAGACCAACTCTGAAGGGACCCTGCTCTTGGCAATTAACAGCTGCATCCACTCTGGGCCTGCAGGTGAGGGAGGACCTAGACACTGACTGTGACCCCAAAAGCGCTGTCACTGCCTGTACTTGGAATGTGATCCCAGCTGTGTGGGTGGCAGGAAGAGCATCTCCCAGAAGAGCCAAGCTGAGACTGCCTGGAAGAAAAGGGGGTGCAGGAGGGCCCCAGCCCAGTGTATGTGGGCCCAGAAAGCAAGGGGCCCAGGAGTTGAAGGCGGTACAGTGGGAAGCTGGGGAAGGGGGTCCATTCGTCAGGTAAGATGGAATGAGGAACGGAGGGTAGCTGGTTCACCAGTGGCGTACCGTGGCTGACGTCGTCTGGAAGTCATCAACTCAGATTCCGCATCCTTTGCTGGTGGCACTGCACTGCCGGTGGTTCCAGGAAGCTCTGCTTCCCACTCTCGCTCCAGCAGCAGGAAGCTTCCCAGGACCAGACGTTCTGTCCCTGGGCTGAGTTGTCCCTTCCAAGTGACAGGAGTGACCTGAGGCAGCCCAAAGTCAGCAGCAAAAGGCATGGGCTCTGGAAGGTAGTGTTTTTACCTCTCAAGCTGGGATCTGATTCCCATTTAGAGGACTCCGGGACCAAGCAAGTGGACATCAGAGCCCAGCACGAGGCTGCGTTGGGGCAGGAGCCGGCGTCCTGGCCCCTGTGCAGCCTGCCTGTCCCAGAGATGACAGCAGGCCCCAGGAAAGACGGTGCTGGCTGCCTCCCGGCAGGCTCCCTTCACATCTGAACAGGCCCTCCAGCCACCCCACCCTGGCTGTGACCCTGTGGGGTGTGGGCATCATGGGGTCTTTGGGGTGTGAAACCCAAAGCTCAGCTGGAAGGCCTGCTGGTGCCGGAAGGCTCAGGAGGGCAGGGCCTGTGTTACCGTCTTGTGACTCTTCCTAAGTCTCGACATGTGTCACATTAGCCCAGTCAGGGAAACTATCCAGGTCAAATATGACCCGTCCCCAGGTGTTCACCGCCAGAAATACACAGAAGACTCCAATTATGTTCATCATTAGTCCTGTTTTCATCTGGAAAAAACAGGGCCAGAGTCAGCACCCTGGGGTCATGCAGGGTGTCAGAACCAAGGTGCACGGGGCACTGGGAGCCAGTGCTCGGAGAAGGGGACGAGGGCTGGTGTGCCGGGCCTCCCTCCCTGGGCCATGCTCTGTGTCCACCCCACCCTCAGACAAAGCAATTTCACACCTCGCAAGTGTTATCGGTGCTCAGAGCATCCCCAGGAAACGGGAATAATGGTGGGTTCTCTGCCTATCTGGACATTTGCAAAACCGGGCCTCAGGGAGGTGACATGAGGCCACACCCCAGGCCACTCAGGGAATTACCGGGGGAGCCCAGGTCTGACTCCCGGTCCCGGGCTGCCCCCAGCCCTTCACCATCGCCCTGGCACCTGCGGGCTCCCGAAGAGCCGCCCGTGGCTCCGATGCCAGCTCTTTCTTCAGGCTCGCTAACCACTGCTTTCAAACCCCATAAAGACTTTTTACTGGGGGCTGGAGCTGAGGTTGTAGTCCACAGCTTCCGGACTACCCCTTCTCCTAAAAAATGCTCTGCAGAGTCCCGAGGACACCCAGCAGAGGCTCTGCGACAACTCACGCCCGACTGTGTTGGGGTAGGGTCCCTCCTTCCTGGCCTGGCCCCTGTCAGAGCTGCCCTCCTTCTCCTATCCGGGGCAATAAAGCCGAAGCAGAACTGAGGTCAGTCCCTCCGCTGGCTGCCTTTGTTGCTGAGGCATCCTCTGCTCCCGGGCAGCGGTCTCCGTTCCCCGCCCCTGCTTCGAGCCTGCAGACATCTCTCTGGCTATCATTAGTGTCCATCCACCCCCCCATCTCAGTCTTGTCCCTCTTGACTGTCCTCACAGCTTCTGCTAGTTTGGGAAGTGCACCTTGGCCATGTGGGGCCTGCCCTCAGCTGTCCCAGGTGTTCAGCGAGGGCTGCCTTGGTGGCTGCTTGGGCACCTCCAGGTGGGGGATTCTATAACCCACCTCTCCACTCTGGGAGACAGAACAGTATGAAATGCGAGATCATTTCCAAAAAGAAGACAAGCCACATATAAGTGCAAATAATAAGGGGAGACTGAGACTTTTGGTGCTATTCCCAAATCATGTGACATCACACGTCACTAGTAAACGGGGCATCCCTGGCGACAAAAGCATCAGAGCTGATAAAAGTGAACAAAAGCGGCTGCGTTACCATGTCAGAAACCTTGAGGTGTCCGTAGGCAAACACGATGGCGTTAGGTGGGGTGGCCACGGGCAGCATGAAGGCAAAGGACGCGCTCAGGGTACAGGGGAGCATGACGTACAGCGGGTTGAGGCTGATGGAGCGTGACTGGGGGGAAACACAGCACTGCGTGTCACAGACATGGAAAACAAACGCTCCTGGGGCCACCACTCTGAAAAGCATCCCCCCACGCAGCGTGCATGCCCCCCTCTGCGTCTCTGTCCCCTGGGTCCTCTGCCCTTTGCCCCGCCTCTGGGTGATAACTCTGCTGCACCCCAAAGGCCGAGTTCTGAGCCCTCCCCCCAGGAGCCCTTTCTGAACCCCCTCAATTCATTCAACATATATTTCTTGGCCACCTACTACATTCCAAAGACCATGCAGGTCACTTAGACCGCACTGAGCCTTGAAGCGTTCCTGCAGTGCACACGTGCACATGTCTGTCTGTCTTGCTATACACCAAGACAGCCCAGAGGGTGGGGCGACCACATCTTCTCACCAAGAGACACATCTGTGTACATGTGTGTTTTCATACACACTTGGGATCAGTTTGAATATGGAATTCAGTATCCTTCTTTTTTACTCTGCAGCTTAAAATTCAGCCACATGTAACAGTACCTGACAGAGTAGCCAGACACTTGTTAAATATCTGTTGAATGAATGATATCATAATACAATCCACAATATCTGCCAAAATGAATAATCGAACATGCAGATCGACAGATGGACGTGCACATGAGAGCAGACACATATGTGAGAATGTTCCTTACGACATGGCAACAGCAGAACTCGCAGGAAACAGCCTCAACGGCCATCCGTGGCAGGGCGGGCAGAGTAAATACGTACATACAGACAACGGGTAGTTCACAGCTGTAGAGAACTAAGTAGGCTTTGTGTGTGAACATGGGAAGATCTCTAAGATCTATAGTTGGACTTTTTAAAATTTAAGGTGCAGAACAAAACCATACACTGGTACCATTTGTCTGCAAGAGAGAGTGTGTCCAGTACCTCCAGGAAGATACCTAAGAAGTGGCTCACAGAAGTTGTCTCTAGGGGGAAGCTAGAGAGTGGGGGCCTGTACCCTGGTATTATTTGGCATTCGTAAGCCATGTATACGTATCACATTTTCAACTTAAAAAAATGGTACATGTTCCCATTTTATTAAATGCCCTTCAAAACTCTGATTTTTTTTTTAAATTGAAATATTGCATTTTATATTTCATTTGATAATATTACACTTTTGAATATATAACTTATTTCATCAATCCCCTACTATCATGGAAATATTTTATAATAAATGATTCTGCCAAGTGCGTCTTTGTAACACAGTCGACCCTTGAACAACAGGGGTTTGAACAGCACAGGTCCACGCACACATGGGCTCTTTTCAGGAAATGCACACTCAGCCCTCTGTATGCCCAGGTTCCCACCTGCAAAGCCAGCCAGCCACAGCTCAGACAGGAGCCCGTGATGTGCAGGGTCAGCTGTACACGCTGCTCTATGCCATTTTATATAAGGGACTTGAGCATCCACCGATTTTGGCACCTGAGGGAGGTCCTGGAACCAGCCCCCATGGGTACTGAGGGACCATACTTAAGTTCTGTGGGAGCCACAAGTTACACATGGATCTCTGACTGCGTGGGGAGGCTGTGCCCTGACCCCTGCAGTATTTGAGTGAACTGTACATGCCTGTCAGCATCTCTGGTGACTCCCTAAAACACACTCACAGCCACAAGTGGCTGAGTCAGGGCATAGGAGCGGGTTTCAGGCTAGGGTTCCTGTGGGCAGACAAGCTGCACCAAGTCACACCGCCCCTGGGAGAACTTGAGAGGTCCCAGCCAGGGCCCCCGTCTATTTCCTGGTTCCTCCGTGTGTCCCGGCCTTGGGCTCGCATGGTGTATGGCTCTGTGGTGCGGCTGGGGCATCACCGCCTTTCCCTTCGCCACAGCTGGGTCCTGAGGCAGGAGTGTGAGTGGGCTTGGAGGTCGCTGTGAGGAATCTTACTGGGGCTTCTGATTCTAGAAAGGCTTGTCTGGAAAGGCCTGGCCACCCCCTCGAGTTCAGAGCTCTGTTTGCCTGGCTGGGGGCCTTCAGGGCTCACTGCTGGGGCTGGAGGTGACAAAATCAAACCTTTGCCAGAAGAGGGAAGGCCTCACCACCCGGTGCCCAGCATCAGAAGATGCTCCTTGGTGTCTGTCTGGGCAGCCTGCTTACAGGACAGGGAGCTAGGGCGGCCACCTTGCTATTCCTAACACTGTCATCTTCACTCGGATTGAAAGGAGAAAACCACTCGGGTTTGCTTTTTATACACATGGACACATTGGAGGCCAAACAGAAATTTACCAACTGCAATCCTGTGTTCAAGTTTTTGTGACTCTGTCTCCCAACCCCAGAAGGGCGGCCACAGCCTCTCCCAGGCTCGTTCTGCAGTCTACAGGGGATTTTCACAGCCCTCGTCTTACTTGACCCTCAAGCGCAGGAGAAAAGAACTTAAGGGACATGTTCAAGAATCCCAAGACTTGACTCAGGTCTTCTGACCCCAAGCCCAGTGTTCTTCCTGTGCCACCTGGAAGTTGGTACTGCCATGTGTTGAGTGACAGGAGAAAATGCACGAAAAGATCACAGCCAATTTTCCTATAAGCTCTACTTTAAGTGCCAACTCAAAGAACATGCTCGCCCATAGCACGCTGATACCTGACGCCCAGGCTCACCACACAAGGCTCCTGAGAGTCTTCAGTCACACTCCCCATTTCCTTTACCTGGGCTTTCCATCTTCCCAAGACATCCTCTCCCCACAACCACTTCTAAGCCCGACCTTCCCGGAGACCTCTTCCTGTGGGTCCCCACCAGCAGTGTCCCCAGCTTGGCCTTCTCACACCTGCACTATATTCGGAGACCCTCGGGCCTTCCCTCACAGGACTGGTCCACTCCCCCTGGGCACAAGCCCTGCATCCCTGTCTTAAGAAAAAGTCAGTTACATTGACAAATAAATGCGGAGCACCTGGTTTGTGCTTAGCACTTTGCCAGCAGTGGGGACACAAAAAAGAACCAGCAGCAAACCGAGGGCAGGCCCAGGCCCACCGAGGGCTCCCAAGTCCTATCTGAGCCAGGGCCCAATTTAGGTCTCGAAAGCCTGGTCAGGCTCTGGGCCCTGATTTCACTGCCTCTCTAGGGACTTAGAACGTAGTCCTGGGTTGACAGCTTCTTATGAAACAATGGTTAAGAGCCCCCGAAACCCAGCAGGGTTACTCACCATAGAGGCAAAGATGGGCAGGAACAGGGTGGTGGTGGCCACGTTGCTTGTGCACTCAGTGAGTACAGCAGTGGTCGAGGACAAGATCAAGGTGATGGCTGCAGGAGGCACGGCGTGCAAGGGCTCCATCTGCTTCCCCATCCACTCGGACAGCCCTGAGACCTGGGAAGCACCCAGAGGACAGCCACCAAAGGGTGACTGGCCTATAGTTCCTGTAGGCCAGGAGGGACCCTCACCCTTCCCCAGGGAGCTCAGCCCATCCCCTATCTCTTACTCTCTCCGCATACGTTCCAGGGGTGACCTCATCCATGCCCACAACTTCAGTCTCCATCCTCATTCTGCTGTCTCCAAGATCTGTATTTCTAGCCCAACTGGTCTACTGTCCAGACTTACATCTATACTCTTTCTAGAAATCTCCACCCAGATGTCCCATGAGCATGTCAGACTCAACATGTCCCTACCTGCATTCCTCCTCTCTAGCCCAGAGTCTACTGTTCCCCCTGGGCTTCCCAGCTCAGGGAATGGATTCACCGTCCACCGTCCACCTTCTGTCCAACCTAGACCAGGAGTCATCCTGGGGAACCTTTGTCCCCCTCATTCCTTCCACCCAATCAGTCACCAAGTCACCCGAAGCTTCTCATGTCCATCGTCTCCTCTCAGGCTCCCACAGTTCTTGAAACTGAAGAGAGAAACTGGGGATCTGGACTTGGTGCTTTGGGCTGAGAAGAGATCGTCCAGGGGAGAGCATGAAAGTGAACAGGGAAGAGGCCAAGGACAGAGCCTGGAGGGACATTCGCATTTAAGGGAGACCAGAAGAAAAGTCGGCAAAGGAGACTGAGCAAGAATAGTTAGAGTTGGAAGGAAACTGGGAAAGACTGGTTACTTGGGGGCCAAAGGAGGGGAGAGTGGTCCTGCAGTCCAGCCTTCTGAGACCGACTTCGACGAAGGCTGCAGAGCGTCTGCTGGGTCTCCCTCAGCCCTGGCCCTGCCCAGGCCTCCACCCAGACATCAGGGTGATTTTCCCCAAGGGCAGGCCTGTCCAAGTCACTCTCTGGCCTCAGGCCTCCAGTGGCTGCCCACTGCCTGCAGAATAAAGTCCCCACTCCCTACCTTGGATTCAAGACCCTCATGGAGTGGCCCCTGCTAGGCTCAGCAGCCTCCCCTTCTGTTCCTCAGCTAGGTACCGCACACTTATTCCTTTACCGATGTGCCACTTCTTCCTGAATGCTCTTCCAGATACGTCCCCCTCTCTAGTCTGTGAAGTGCTCACAAACAAGGACCATATTTCAGTCTCCTCTGTCATTCCCATGTCTGGGCTAACGAGGGTATAAGAGAAGTGTCTGGTGAATGAATGAATAATAGATGGGTGGATGACTGGGTAGAGAAGTGACTAGATGGATGGATTTGTTCACCCAAAAACTATTTATGCACCCACCACGCACCAGGCTCTGTTCTAGATGCTGCAGAAAACAGGATAACAAAATAACAGGACAGATTCAGTCTATCTATTACATTCTCTTCATGGATGGACGGACACATGGACAGAGGCATGGAGGACAGTAGGCAGCACCAAGCTGTCTCATCCCTACCTCTGGATCATTTCTTCCCTATCAGGGAAGGGGGAGAGGTAAGAAAGTTATACTTTGGGGGTGTTCTCCCCCAAAAGCTGTCCCTCTCCTTCTACACTGCTATACACTTATTAAAGAAAAAATTTTAAATGGCAACCACATCAACAAAGAGTTCAACAAGAAGACCAAAGATAATGGTGGAAATCTCCACGAAAACTTGCACATTTCCCTAGAATGAATCACAGTGAAGACCCTTATCACCAAATCCCAAAGGAGACCTCACAGCACCCTCTGCCTCTCTTGGGTAGCCCAGGGTCACTTAAACTCAGTCATCCCTGCAATCACTCAAACAGCACTTTCTCTATTCCAGGCACCATTCATGGTGCAGGTTCCTAGGTCACAAAACAGAGTCCCTGTCCTCAAGAAATGTGCAGTTAGTGGAGGGCACCACGAGGCACCAACCCGGGGGGGGCAGGGTGAGGGGTGGGGGGCCCCTGGCCACCCATAGCTGGAGAAGTTACCTCGCATCCTTTAGCCAGAGCAAATCCGCCCCCCAGCAGCAGCACGAGGCCCCAGGGAACTTTCTCCTGGGTCACCTTCCAATCCAGCAGTGCAGGGGGGTAAAACGGAGCTTTCCTTTCTGTGAAGAAACAATAAACAAACACATACAGAACCCAGAGCAGCCTTATGAAGCAAAACCAAACATCTAATCAAGGGGAATAAAGGTCTGTAAGGACAATGAGTACCATCTCCCATTTACACATTGGCTAAAATTTACAATAATTACTATACCTGTTGCTGGTGAGAATATGGCAAAGCTACTACACACCCCTGGCAGCATTACTAGTTGGTATATCCTTTTGAAAAGCAAGGCAGCAATGCATTTAAGAGCCACTGAGATATATATCCCTCAGCATCATCACTTCTAAAAATGATTCCTGAAGAAGAAAAACCCTCAGAAAAAAGCTAGATATTGAACACATTAATTTATAATAATAAAAAATTGAAGACAGCCAGAATGTTCCATCACAAGAGAATGGTTACAGCCCCTCTAAGCAATATAATGCCATTATTAGAGAAGATAAATTTGAAGACTGTGGAAAAGCAAGAAATGTTTATTAGAGTAACCTCAAGCAAAAATATGAAAACAGAAACAATAAAGCAACAGGATTTAAATTGCATGTTTTGTTTATAGTCATATAATACATGTGCCTATTAATAAAGACTGGGAGGGAGAGAGAAACCCTAAGATACTGATAGCATCATGAAAAATTTGGCCCTGATTGGTGTTGGCTCAGTGGATTGAGCGCCTGCCTGTGAACCAAAGGGTCACCAGTTCGATTCCCAGTCAGTGCACATGCCTGGGTTGTGGGCCAGGTCCCCAGTGAGGGGCATGTGAGAGGCAACCACACATTGACGTTTCGCTCCCTCTCTTTCTCCCCCCCTTCCCTTCTCTCTAAAAATAAATAAAATATTTTTAAAAGAAAAATTCAAGACATTTTTCTGTTCCTGTATAATTTAGAAATGTGATTTCAAATGTTGAAAAAGTAAAAGAGAAATTTTACACTAAACAATACCAGGGAAGGCTTGAGAAACACCCTGTGTCCAGACTTTGTAATCTTGCCGGTCCACTTTGACAGAGTAGGCTTTTCTCCCTCCTAAGCCCAGGGCACCAACCCCGATGAATGGGAGGCCGGGACAGAAGCCTTACCTTCCTCGGTCTGGCTGCAGAAGTTGAACTTGGGCTTCTGCGAAGGCAGAATGAAGAGCAACATGGCCACCAAGATGGCCACAGTGGCGTCCGAGGCGTACCTGGCAGGGCGAGAGCACACAGGATGAGCCAACTCAGCCGCGGCGGAAGTCACACAAGAAGCCTGGACCGCATCTAAATGTCCCGGCATGAAGAAACAGGCTTGGCTGGGTATGAAAACTGGAATCCCGGAGGCCAAGGTCAGAAGTGGATCCTGGCTGGAAACCAAGACTCTCCCATTCCTGGCCTGGCCACCAGCACTGGGTGACCCTCAGGCCGCTCTCTTCCCCCTCACACCCAGGTTGCTTCCCGGGGGGAACTTGTGACCTCCCCTCAGGCAGATTCTCTAGAATTCTGGGCTCCCTGGGTGACCACAAACAGACCTTAAGGCGGAGAGAGCAGCAGCAGGCGGCTCTGCCCCAACCCGCACCTCCTGCCTCCTCCAGGACGTGCTCGTTTCTCAGCCTTCCTTCCAGCTGACTGACTCCCTATCATCTTACCCAGGACAGAAACTACACATACCCCCTTTTGCCAAATTTCTGCCTAGAGAAGATTCTGGATCTGTGACTTCAGATGAACTATCTCAGATTTGAAGAAAGATGAGGAAATAAAGATGGCGGCGGAGTAGAGATTTGGAAACCGGAGCTCCACCCCAGCCCAGCAGCTCTCTCTCCACCGCAGCCCTGGCCTGGCCGAGTACTTTCTGCTCAGCCTGTTGGGGAAGGAGGGGCCACGGGGTTGTATCTGTGGGCTTGTCCCGAAGACTGGTGAGAAAAAATGAGTCTGGACACCAACAGTGCGCTTCAGAGCTCATCTGCAGAACAAAGGGGGGCCCCAGAGGCTGCTGCAGAGCGAATGACTTACTTTGTCTCGCCCTCTGCCCAGGCGACCGACAGCCAGCCAGGCATGAAGCCGGGGTCCCGGGAGAACCACAGGCCGACCAGCAGGAAGAAGCAGACCAGGACGTTGACCTCGGCGAAGGAGAAGGGCCCCAGCTTCCTGTACTCCTCGCACAGCACCTCGTAGGCAGCCTCGTCCTTACTCCTTGTCTCGGGCCCGCAGCCCCAGGACTTAAAACTGGAGGATGCAAAGACAAAAGGACAGCGGGGCAGATTGGTTGGCTCCGGGGCTGATTGTAAGGAAGCCTGAGTGTTGGCAGCAGACTCCTGTGGAAAGGCCTGTGGTGCTGTCCATCGCCTGGGGTGGGGGCAGTGCTTGAGCAAGTCCCTTCCCCACTCCATCTCTGTCACCTGCCTACCACACCTCACAGGACCTGGTGGGGAAAGTCTCTGTTATAGGTGCCCAACACATGCCCCAGAGTACCCCAGAACTGCAGGATGCTCCCAGAGGCCTGAGAAGACACAGATGGGTGGCCCATCTGGACCAGGTTGTAGGGGCAATGGAGGCAGGAAAAGAGAGGATGGTTAACAGGGTGGGAGGCTGAGAAGAACGGGGTGGAGGTAGGCAGGAGTATTGGGGGGTGGAAATAAGCAGAATTGAGGCTGCCACTGGCTGGGAGACCTGGCAAGTGCCCAGTCATCTGCAGACCAGCTGCCCCCGTCATCTGTCATCTGGGGAAGGGCCATGACATGTTCAGGAGCCAGCTCGAGGTGGAGCCAGGACTCCCTCATATGCCCCCCAAGTCTTTCTCCTCCCACAGTGGCCTGGAGCCACATCCAGTGATTCCAGAATGCCAGGCCCCATCAGCAAGGTAGCTCAAGAGGCACAAAGAACAAACAGACCAGGCCAGGCAGGAGCAGGGTGGGTGCTTGCCTTCCAAGGAGCTGGAAGTGCAGGGCTTGGGATCCAGGAGCCTGGGGCTAGCAGCAGGCATGACCATGGCAGGAAGGAAGCCAGCCCGGGCCCTGGTCTTGGATGGGCTCCTTAGGAACCAGTGCCCATTGGCCAATATGACCTGCCCAGGATGTCCTGCAGGACCTCCTTTAGAGGGGTGCTGGCAGGAGGCAGGAAGGAGGAGGATTCTTGGAAGAGGTGTGGAGGGTGCCTCAGCCATGGGGAGGGGTTAACGGGCCCCCCGAGGCCCAGGATCCAGGCCTTGAAGAATTCTCTGAAGGGTCTATGCACACTTTCCAGCCTGTCAGCTTGAAGGTGGTGGGCCTAGCCAAAAGGAATGTCCCTGGAGAGTCCTGCCTGTGCATGTCCTTCCAGAGGCCCTACAACAGTCTTCGTAGGAGGGCAGAAGGTACTGGAATTGGGACCGAGATCCCAATTTCTGAAGCCAAGGCTCAATGTGAGCTGCCTGGGAGGGCCATGCCGGTGAGGGGACACAGCCTGAAGCACAGGACACAAGGCAGCTAGGATATGGATGCTCAGAAGTTGGGAAAGCAAGAGGCAGTGATAGGGTCTCATGTCTGCACAGCCTGCCTCGATCTCTGTGCTGGACAAGGGGGCAAGGCTGGACATCCAGAGTCACCTGCCAGGACACCCTCAGGTCATCCAGCACGGCAGACTCTGTGGATGGCAGCCTCTCGCCCCCTGGTGTGGAAGAGTCTGTTTTGACCAAGAAGCAATCTGCTGCCAACTGTCATTCTCGAGACTGCAGGGCTAGGCCAGAGGCCTCGGGTTTCCGGGATGAGGGCTGACTCTGGCGCTCCTGGCTGCTGGTGACTTGTGCCGACATCACTGACTGTAGACACCAGGGGCTGCACCGCATCTGCAGTAGTTGTGCTGCTCCCCACCCTTACCCCTGCACCATGGTGCTGCCAAGCCTTCAGGAGCCCCTTAGGCTAAGAAGTTTCTCCCTCCTCTCTGGGTTAATCCTGTCCTGTCCGCTCACCACTGAGCTGGCAGGAGGTACAAACACATGGATCCAGTCTGCCTGTGGAGCCCACAGGGCAGGATGGGCACGAAATGTCCTTCTACAGTAGAATGGCCTTCAGAACGATGAGGATGAACTGGTACAGAGCAGAGGAGAGAGTGAAGGAACCCCTGAGTCCCCCCGAGAGCCTCTACCATGGCGGGGGTCCAGAAAAGCCCTTATTCCTTGACTGGGGGTCAGCCTGGAGAGGAAAGCTGGGACTGGGTCAGCAGTAGTGCCGCAGCAGTCCTGGGCTGTCCTGGGCTGTCCTGGGCTGTCCTGGGGTAGGGGTTCTGTGCTCTACTTGGTTGTCAACGGCCAAGGAGGTCACTCATAAATCCAAAAAATTTAATTTTTCTGGATTAGGACAACAGCAATGGCCCTGACCTTGCTCTGCATGACCATCCAGATGAGAGAGCCACACGAAGGCACAGCGGAGATGTTTCCCACGGCCAAGACAGGTGCTGACCTGCCTCTGGTGAGGTAGTCTGGGGGGCCCGGAGGCAGGTCCTGGTGCGTGGCAGCGCACGGCCTGAGCTAGAGGACATGCGCTACTGTCCTGTCATTCAAGCCGAGTATAAAGAGCTGTGCAAATGAGGCTTCCTGTGAGCCACCCCCACCCCTACCCACCACACTCCAAGCCTGGGTGGTGAGGCCCCTGAGCTGGAACAGCATGCCGGGAAGGCGGGTATTGGGGGCAGCCTTCAGCCCAGCCACAGATGGACTGCAGAAGCTCCAGGCTCCCTGCCAGTCAAAAAGTGCCGGCAGAGGCCACGCCAGGCTGGGTGAAGTGCAGCACAGCACAGGTGAGCTCCCAGGAGCCCGTTGTCCACCTCTAGAGGCTGGCGGTGTCCTTGTGGTCATGGGGCCAGGCCAGCTCCCTTGGCTTGCTCTGCTGGGGAGCTTGGTAGCCCTCAGGGCTCCGGGCCCCTCCCCCACCCCAGGCTGAGGGGAGGCTGAAACTGGTACCCGACATCTGGCTGCACCTAGGCCTCAAGGCACTCAAGGGCTGCAACCTTTTGCCTCCCCAAGAGGGGACTGTGAGGGACTGAATTGTGTTCCCTAAATTCATATGTGATGGTATTAGGTTTGGACAAGATCATGTAGTGTCTTCATCAGCAGAGGAAGGTACCAGAGCACTCTCTCTGTGAGGACACAGTTGACAACATGGCCTTCTGCAAGCCAGGAAAAGGGTTCTCGCCAGGAACCAAATTGGCTGGCACCTTCGTCTTGAACTTGCAGTCTCCAGAACTGTGAGAAATAAATGTCTGAGGTTGCAGCTGCCCAGGCTGCGGCATGTGGTGATGCGGCTGAGCTGACTGAGACAAGGATGAAGGGTAGCGGGCCCAGGCTCCAGGACCAAACTTCCTGGGTTCAAATCTCAGCCCCCCGACTTCCAAGTTGCACACCCCGGTGAAGGCCATTTACCCTCTCTGTGCCTCAGTTGCCTTATCTGTAAACTGGGGATAATAAGAGTATGCACCTCACAAGTTGATGTGAAGATTAGTTAACGTAGGTAGAGTGATTAAAATTGTGTCTGGTGCTTAAAAAGCTCTCAACAGGTGCCGGCCGACACCCCCACTTCGCCGAGTACAGCCTGCAGCAGGTCTCCCGAGGCCTGCTGGGCAGGCGCGAGGACTCTGGTCCCGAAGCAGGTGTGAAGAGCAGGGCAAAGGGCTTCGCTCAGTAGCAGGCTGCGCCCGAAGGGCCCGCCCCCCAGGCCGGCACCGAGGGCGGCAGAGGAGGGTGCCCGCCCCAGCTGTTGTGCCGCTGCTGTGACCACTCTACGTGTGGGTATTTTTTAATGGCAATTTTCAAAAGGTTTTCCTTTAGGAGGAAACTTACAAAACTGCCCCTCTTTCCCCGGTTAACTCACAGGTTTAGGGGGCCACACAGGCCCATTTCTGGCTCTGGCTGCCGGTGGCTGAAGGCACAGAGCACCCGGCTCACAGCTAAGCACCTTCCATACCAGTGCAAGAGGGTTATCTTTGCTCCACAGATAAATTTGTGTCTTTTAAAGTCACAAGAGCGTCTGCAAAGTATTTGTCAGCCACACATGGTTTCTGCCCAAAGTCTGGCTGCTGACAAGGATGACTGTTGGTAAACCTGCTGTGTGCTGGGAAGAGGAGGGTAAACTTGGCACCACCCTTTGCACGCCACTGGGAGCACGTAGGCATTTGGTAAACACCTGGGTTTCCACTGTTTCGACATTATCAGGTGGCATGCTGTGACCTCACCGAATGGACACGTGCAGCCAAGTGCAAGTTAGCCAGCGGTATTGATTTGTTCACAGGGACAAGATACCCTTCTTTTTATTGCTTTGACTCATGTTGATGGCTTGCTGGTCTTTCTCCCTGGGACGGAAGCCAGGCTGGGTGCCGGGGACAGAGAGCACTGGCTACAGGAGGCATCAGAGGAGCTCAGGGGCCCAGGGCAGCACTAGAACGTGACTATGGGTACTGAGGGACAGGACCATGTGGTGCTCAGGAGAGCCCGGGGGAGCAAGCATGGGATTCTTCTATGATGGAATGGCAGGGGGTGGGGGAGTCAGAAAAGGTGTCCCTAAGGACACAGCATTTGAAGTGGCCTTGAAGGCTTGAAAGGGTGGAAGATAGGGAATGGCATTCCAGGAAGAGGGAACAGCATGTGCAAAGACATGGTGAGCAGCCTGAAATGGCCAAAATGGGAGGACAGACTGGCAGATGGTGGAGCTGGAGAAAAGGGCCAGTCAGGACGAACTCTGTGGACTGGCCTACTGGCTCCTGTGCAGGGGCAGGCAGATGAGACTCTATCCCAAAGCAGCTCAAACTTACTTGAATCCCATATAGATGTACTGAAGCCACAGCCAGGTGAGCACCAGCATGATCAGCATGGTGGGGAAGGCGAATCCAAACCAAGAAGCGAAGTTCACGGTGTCCTTGCTGCCAGGAAACAACCTGAAGGGAGAAACACCAGGCCACAGCTCCACCTGATGCTGAGCTGCAGAGAGCAATCAGGTCAGGCCCTGTGGGTACGGGGCGGGCAGCGGCCGGAGAGATGCCCCGAGAGATGGTCTGGAGAGCAGGTCTCATCCTCCCAAGGCCCAGCCATCCGAGTCCACTGCCCAGTATTACCCCAGTGAGGCGTGGACCTCAGGACACAGCCTGGCACAGTAGGAGCCTGAAGAGTAACTAACTGACCCTCCTGGGGGTCTGCACCCTGCTGAGAATCTCATAAAAGATATGTCCCTTTCCTCCAGAAAAATACGCCTTTGTACACCCATAACTGGGCCAACAGCATCAGGTGGTCCACAGATGACCCAGAACCCTCACCCTGTGGGCTTCTGCAAGGTGGGCCCCCACCCTCCCCTAGGAAAACAAATCTCGACAGTCTTGCAGGGTGGGGCCATATCACAGTTCCAGGGGCTGGAGAAGGGTCACTTTCACTCTAGGCTCCATCCCCCACCCCCAGGCGTTGCTCACTTTAGCCCAAGGGTGTCAAAGTAGACACAGCGCTTTCTGCACTCAGCCAGAATCTCCGGGGAGAACTGAAAGCTATCATTACAGAAAATGCTCACAGGATCAGAATAGTCTGCTTATTGGCTCTCAAGCGTCTGCTCCACCCGGCTCCAGGCCTGGCCTTCCCACCTCCCAAGGGCTCTTGTCTGCACAGGACAGCACCCCCTCACTTCTGCTCCTTCCCCCTGGGCCCACTGTAGTTTGTATCTTCCTTCACAAGGGCATTTACACAACCCACCTAGAACTTTCCAGGCATCCGCTACCCTCAGCAGGCGGTGAGTATCCCACAGACAGGGCCCAGGTTTTTCACTTCTGTGATTCCAGCCCTACCTGGCACAGGGCAGGGACAGAATGGAGACCCCATGGCCTATGTCTATCTGTGGCCAAGGAAAGTTCCAGACCACCACTGCAGTCCATCCAGGGGCCTCACGAGGACATTGGTCGCCTCAAGAACAATGAGAGGAACTACAGCGAATGAGCTGATGAAGCAGTGAGTGACTTAACCTCTAACCCTTTATGCCATCGCTAAAGCCCCACTATCATGGGACCACGACCATTCAGAAGCCAGGTCAGCGGGCCAGTTTTGAGGAGAACATCTATGGGGGGGCCTGTTTTCCGCCAGTTTTAAAGCAGGACCCGGCACCCAGGACTATGTTGTCACCCTCCACGACTTCAGCTCAGAGTTTAATCACACATGACCTGTGTGAGTGAAAATGCTGAGCCCCAAGAAGCGCCCAGGACAGAAAGCAACCAAGTCTGGGGACTGTCGCCAGCTCCCACCCCGAGGAGTCCTGGGCAGGCGCAGCAGAGGCTGCTGGGGCACACCCTCCCACCCCAGCTCCAGGGCTCCACTGAGAAGGAGGGACAGGAGTGGCTCTGACCCCGGGGCGCACATCATTGTCCCTAGGAGGCGTGGCCAGTGACTCACTCATGCATCTGGCCCAGGAGCACCACGTTGGGTCCTGTCCCAGTCAGGGTGGCAGTGCCTCCGATGCTGGCTGCGTAGCACACACACAGGGTCATGGCCTTGCACATGCTCTTCCTGCCACGGTTCTCCCGCGGCCCCATCACTGGGCCTTCAGACAGCGCTTGGCTCCCTGCAGTGACACGCCTCTGTAAGCAGAGCCAGGCCCAGGGGCCCCTGCTCAGCCCCGCTCCTCACTCTGCCACTGACCTGAGGCTGGGGACAGGCTGGCTCGGCTGGCTCCCGCCTCAGGGTTTCCTCAGCCTCCCTCTCTGCCTCCCGCAGGCACTTCCCACTGCGTCTCCCAGGCTGCTCGAAGCCCAGTGCAAATTCAGCAACCTCAGACTCACACCCTTCTTTCCTGCCTCCTTGCTGTTGCTCCAGCTGGTCCCTCCCTCTAAGGGGGGTGTCCGAATCCACCTTAGCTGCCCTTTCCTCCTAGAACGGCCTCTCCCTTGTCTGGGTTCCTTTGGTGTCTGGCTTATGGCACCTGGTGGCTTCCCACAAGTCAGAGGAACTAGGCAAGGGGCCTCATTGCCCCACCCCACTGGGTCCCTTCAGTCCAAAGTATGGGTGCATCTGCTTCATCTCAGCAGCCCCAGGACCTGGCGATTGGGCCACCAGAAGGACGGGCCCTGAGTTCCCTGTGCTGGGCCCTGGGGATGGGGTACAGACAATGCAGAGAATGAAACAGGCGCCATCTGACTCCCCCAAGCTCCGCGGCTAGTGGGGAAGCAACATGGGACAACCACCCCAACCCCTGTGGGAGCAGAGAGCAAACGGGAGGTTCAGGGCAGGCCTCCCTGAGGATGAGTAGAAGGAGCAAAGGGTGACAGGCACCCCGCAGGTGCTCAAAAGATGCCCAAATGAGGAATCGAATGAATATCTATTGATTCTGTGATGGGTAGGAGCCGAGGGTTGGAACTTGCTATGAACAGTATTAAAGGCCTTAACTTTCAGGTGCTAATTACATTCCTAAAACTTATGAAAACAGCATTTTCTAAGTATTTCCCTGGAGGCCTGTTTAGAAGTGGACCCAGCAGCACCCCAGCCCAGGGCTCACCTGGCAGCTCGCAGGTCTTGCCCTTGTCCACCAGCTCCAGGGCGCCCAGGCCGGCCTCGGCGGTGGCGCCCGTGGCTTCCATCTGCTGCAGCACGGCCTCCACGATGGGCACCATCATGGCCGTGGTGGCCGTGTTGCTGATCCACATGGAGAGGAAGGCCGTGATGCCCATGAAGCCCAGCATCAGCCTGCAGAGGAGCAGCAAGGAGGGAGGACGGAGAATTCCCACCCCCACAAGCCCAAACCTTTAGGGGGCAACAAGGGTTGGGCCCTCCTGCCGAGATGCCAGGGGTCCAGGCCAGGGTGCTGAGGCCAGTTCAAGACGAGGTTGTCCGGGAGAGGGTTGGAGCTTAAGCCCCTCCCTCTGCCTCTCCCCTCTCCTTCCTTCCTCCCTCTCTCCCGTAGGAAGAGACAACCACCCCAGCCCTGTGGGAGCAGAGAGCGGATGGGAGGTCTGACCGGTTCAGGGCAGGCCTCTCTCCCAGGAGAAAACACGACTGATTCCTACTATGCTGGCTGCAGGGGCACCAAGAGGCCTTTCTCAGACCCAGTCGTGGTTCTAAGGAGCTCCTGTCCAGCTGGGGCAGCACAAGCAACCAGACGGTGCCAACTCAGTGGGAACAGTTGGCCCTAGTGCTAGGGCGTGCCAGGACAGCCCTGTGTGCAAGCAGCCCCAAGTATCTAGAAGATTCCCACCCACCCCAGACCCTGCTTCTCCTCTCCTAAGTTCAGGAGGGCTGCACAGAGTTAGCCTTCAGGGGAAGGCGATTCTGGGACGAGCCTGGGACATGTCTGACCCATCATGTCTGACCCTCAATCACCTCTCTGCACACACACTTTGTACCTTCTCCATTCAGCAATGGACCAGATCAAACAGTGTTCAGAAGGCAAGTTCCCTTCATTTACACCACCTGTCTTCCCACCTTTGTCCCACCTTTTTCCCACCTCTGCCTGTCTAGAACATTCCTCATGGTCCTTCAAAACCTGTTAGATAATGTCCCTCCTGTGCGGCCTCACTCCCAGTACAGCCAGGTGGGGTGAACACACCCTCCCCCAGCCCCCTCCAGCACTCCTCACTGGCGAGATTCGGAGGGCCTGTTGCTCTGCCTGCTCTGTCCTTGGGTGGTGAGCAGGGGAAGGGTCTGATTCTTCTCCGTGGCTTCCATGTACCCTGGCACAGGGCCAGAAACCGAAGAGGCTCAGGGAGGGCTGGCTAAATGCAACGAAACTGCTCCCGGCCTCCATGTCCCTTGGTGGCCAGGCTTCCCCCTAAGGCCGCTCATTCACCTGAAGCAGGGACCTGGGTGCTGCACTGCACTGAGGTCCAAGCTGGCATCCATGCAGGTGGACCCACAAGAACAAAGGCTGGGATCCAGGCTGGAAAGAGGCTCAGAGTTTTCACGAATGAGACTTCAACATGATGCTTCAAGGCACCAAGTGGGCCTCAACATAAAGGTCACCCCCACAGCAGTGCCACAAACAGCTCAGAGGGGAAGCTAGGTGACAGGAACGAGCACAGAAGCCCATGAGAAACTCCCAGATCTGGGAACAAAAGCTCTTTGGCACTCTCGGAATGAGGTCTACCTGCCGATGGAGAAAAGCCAGCTGCTCAAAGGATCCTGAGAGCAAGAACTCTGAGGCCACTGAGGCCTCGCATTACTAGAAAACACAATGGCTTTTGATTTGACCCTGTAAACCAATGACTGGAGGGGACCAATGCTATGACGGGTAACAACAGAGATCAGAGTCACAATGCTTTCTGAGCAGGGGAGCCTGAGGGGCCCAGGGAGTTGGGCATCACCTCCTGGAGGGCGGACCAGGCTCTTTGTGCTTAGGGCCCAGCACAGTCCCTGACACGTGGACGTCTCAGGAGGGAGTGGCTGTGAACTAACCATCCACTGCCTTCCCAGGGTTGGGCCGGGCCGGGCCACAACTTCATTCAGGGAGCACATTGCCTCAAAACAAAGGTGCATCCTGAGCTCTCTACTGGGGCAGTGGCTGGGGGGCAAGGCCTCATCAGACAGCCAATCATTTATCCCTTCTCTGTCTCAAATTCTTCCTCTATAGAACATGGGTGGTAGGAATGACACCCAGCTCTCAGAGCTGTGCTGAGAGTTAAATCAGGGGATAAATGAGCTCCCAGCATCCTGCCTAAGTCGTTGTTGATGCTCAATGTAGCCAGGTGACTCTGATTACATGAACTCCATGGGATGCTTAGAAATTGCCTGTGATTGGTGGGGGCAGATCTTGGAGAGATGGAGAAGCTGAGGTTCTAAGTGATGTGAGGCAAGACAGGGTAAGAAGCTTCTTTACAGAGGGAAGAGATGTGCCAGCTATGGAAGGATGACCTTTCTGCTTCCTCCTGAGAGGGGTGGTTGAGCCATCCCTGCCCTGATTTCCCCACAAATAGGGGTATCTATTTTCCCCTGATAGGGGTATCAGGCATGGCTTGATCCAGCCTCCACCCACCTTGGAACCCCACAGCCCTTCCTCCAGAAAGTCCTCTGAACATGCAGGGACCCTTGCTGGCCACTATCCTCTGGATTCAGAGAACCTTTACCCACTGCTACTCACCACAGGCCCCCCCCCCATTGCCCATGCATCTGGCATCCCCAGCTAAAATTGTCATGTGCCCCACCCAGGAATCTACCTGCCAGCCCAGCCCAGGTAAGCCTATGGGCAGCCCTGCCTGTGGGTCATCTGGTCAGTGCTGCAGCTCTTCCTCAGCCCTGGGGCCCACAGGGAGCTCGTGGCAAGGAAGAGAAGGCGTAATTACTGTGCAGGCTTGGCCCCCACCCAGAGGAGAGTGCGCAGGGCGATCCTCTTGTGCAGGTTCCAGCGCTCCACAGCCACAGCCACGATGAGGCCACCCAGGAACAGCATATTAGTGTCCTTCATGTACTGGATACACACCTGGAAGGTGGCAGCATGGAGTCCCCATCAGGGTTCCTTCCTGGCCACACACTGCTTGGGCTCAGGGCCACCCACATCCCCAGAGACAGGCAGGCAGACCAGATGCTGACTCTAGGGACAGTTGGGAGTGGGATGAAGGGTCAAGTGGTACATCTCCATGCCAAAAAGAATGCACAGTGGGCTCCCCTGGTCCCCCGGGGCCCGGGCAGCTCAGAGGCGGCTTTGAGAAGGAGCCAGTGGGAGGAGCAGAAGGCCACCAGGATTCCCTAGGTCTGCTCACCTGCCTGGAGTCCAGAATCTTGAGAAGTGGGAAAAGCAGGACAGGCATGAGGGCGGTGACTGCCAGAGGGATGACTTCTGTGCACCAGTAAATGGCCATGAGGATGATGACGTAGGCACACCTGACAAACTGAAGAGACGGCCCTGAGGCCTCGGCACGCTGCTGCCACCCTCAGTCTCACCCCCTCCTGTGAAACGTGGGGGACAATGCCCCCCTCCTTTGGTTGTTTAATGTTTCGTCAGCACATTTATGACAATCATCGTTACCCACCCAGACTCTGCACCCCTTCCCCACCCCGTCCCAGCCAAGCCGGTTGAATCAGCCACCAGGACCTGTAGCTTTCAGTCTGTTACCCTCCGGCCTCTTCCTCCTCCTGCCTTGACCCGCAATCACTGCCCTTTTTCAAGCCACATTTCCTGCTGCCTGGGTGGCTGCAACTCTCTTCTATAGGACATTTCTACTCGTATCACTCCACACTGCGGTGCCCTCTTTCTCTTCCGAAAATCTGATCATATCACCCCTTTTGAAGGCCTTCTCTTGCCTTCAGGACAAAACCCAAAAGCCTTAGCATGACTTAGGAGACCCTCAGCGATGGAGCAGGCCCTGCAGACCCTTCCAGCACTGCCTCCCTGCTCACTCACACCCCGAGTTCCAGCTACTCCAGCACACCAGAGGTTTCTGAGCCCCCTTCTCTCACACACCCCAGTCTAGTGGCAAAGCAAGTGTTCACTCGCTTCAGTGTGTCTCCTTGGGCGTGTCTTCCCCCAACCCCTCCCGGCAGTCTGGGTCTGCACCCCAGTCTCCGTGTCTCCTCTCCCAGCCCCAGTAATTCACCCATGGGCTTGCCATTGTTGGTTTCCTCAACCATCCACCCTCCCCACCAACCACCATGGAACAGCGAGTACCCTGAGGGCAGAACCAGCGTTGGTGGGTTCACTCTGTCCTCAGCACCAGCATACACCTGACACCCAGAAGATGCTCAGCAAACGTGTCTCAGAGGAAGGGACCAGCACGGCACAAGCTCCAACAGCACTGCTGGAAAGGAGCCTGTACACCATCACTATTTATCATCACCCCAAAGAGCACGCAGCCGAGGCGTGAGGCAGTGCATGGAGACTTAGAAATTCTTTGTCTGGATTGCATCGTCAGTCATAAAAAATAAATCTTTTTTCAGCATCCCATGAGAAGCTCAGGACTCCTCCCTCCTGTCTGATGCAGGGTTTCTCAGCCTTTCCACTACGGACATTGTTGGCTGGGTGATTCTTTGTTATGCGACAAGGTGTCCTATGCATTGTAGACTGTTTGGCAGCGACCTTGGCCTCTACCCCACTAGATGCCAGTAACACTCTCTCCAGTTGTGACAACAAAAGTGTCCCCAGGCTCTTCCAGATGCCTCTGCTTGGGAAGGTACAGGCAGCAATACTGACTGAAACCACTGGACTCAAGGCAGGACTGCAGTGTGGGTAGCAGCCGAGGGAGACCCCACGCAGACCTGATCACTGTCTCCTCTCTGCCCTTGTCTGGCTCTCAGCAGTCACTCGACGACATCATTGATGAAAGACTTACCTGGCTCCCAACTCCGGCCCCTCTCCCTGCCCATTTCACGACCTCACCTGTACGTTGAGGAGTTAAGAGTGGCCTTTTTTAATGCATGACACACAGAGAGTGCTCAGTGGATTTTTATTATCTAAACTTATCAGCACCTTTCACCAATTTCCACAGCACAATTCCCGGAGGCACCGAATATAACCAACAAAAAGCACACAGAGCTAACTGGCTCCTCACCTCCACCCCACTGTCAAAAGGCCCAGGAGATGACCCTCCCCAGAGGCAGGGCCGAGTCTGCTGGTCTAGCAGACTCCCCCAGCGTCAGTGCAGACGGCAGCTGGGAAGGGCCGTGCCAGACCGGACAGAGCAGGAGGTGGTTCCCACGGAGAAGGAGATGGACTCTCCCTGCAGAGAGGAGCCCGGTTCCCTGTGGGTGAGCTCAGAGCAGGCCCCCAAAGCTGGAATGTGGCTGGAAGAGCACTTAAAGCCAAGATCAAAGTGAGCGGTGGAGTGAAAAGTCAGCACCCAGCACAGTGCCTAGCACATAATGGGGCTCAATAAATACACAGTAAGAGCGCAAATAAATAAAACCATGTATAATTATTGACAAACAAAGCTGCCCATGACATGTTGCTTAATGAAAAAAATGTAGATAAGAGAACATGCTGTGTGTGTGTGTATATAGACAGAGAAAAAGAAGAGATTAATTGATTTCTGGAAAGATGGCTATTAAAATATTAGTAAGTTATGGGTTTTGAGGGTATTTTCATTTTTACTTTATATCTTACAGGCTTTAAAAAATAAGATTTTTTTGCAATTTTAATAAAACTGATGTTCATAATAAACATATCATTGATTTTATTAAAAAGCCATTTTTTACATCTTTTTTAAAAAAAGGACTCAGAGAGAAGGCAGAAAGAGCGGAGCAGAGACGAGGCCAGACAGACAGGAGGCGAGGTGGACGAGAGGAAGGCAAGAAGGAAGCCCGCAGCAGAGGGGCTGGGCTCGGGCCAGAGGGTAGCATGCCTTCGGATTCACCTCCCCGCCTGGACGGTGCCCACCAGGCTGCCAAGTTCCCACTGGCTTCCCAGCCGCTCTGTTCCATTCCAGTGCCTTGGGGTTGGTTCCCTTGCACAATGGGATGGCCATGGTGGGTAGGGTCAGGGAGCTCTTTGGTGGTGACTAAATAGAGGCACAAGGGGAGGAAAAACCAGGGCAGAAGCCCAGGCTCCCAGCCACCTGTGCCTCCAGGAGGGACGGCATGTGGAGGCAGCCTGGGGAAGGACTTCCACAGATGCCTCCTCTTCCCACGCTGATTCTCACCCCCAAAGCCAGTTCATGACAATCGGGCACACTCCAAGTTGGGGGGGGGTCCCAGCTCAGGGATGTGTGGTGTGTGTGTGTGGCAAGGTGGGAGAGGGGTCTCACTCACACTCAGCCAAGTCATATAATTATTCCAGGGAACACTATTCCAGCAGAACCAGAATCACAGCTTTCCTGCCTGCCTTCCTCCCACAGATGGTAACAGCCCCAAATCTCCTTCTACAGAGGAAATGTGGCCCCTCACAGTTGGTATGACAACTGAAGGGCCACCGCAGCCGGGTCTGGTGTCCTGGCCCATCCCAGCTGGTGCTCAGTCCACCCATGGGTTGCTCTCAACCTCTTCCTCCCCCGTCCTAGGAATCAGCAGAATCCTTTTGGGCACCCAAAGCCATGAAGTGTCAGAACCAAGTCACCTTGGCCCACTGTAGGGACAAGAACACCAAGGCCCAGAAAGGCTTCTTTAAAATCACAAAGAACAGTGAATGGAGGAAGTCGGTTCTCTTGTAGAGTTGGCTTCCTGATAGATACCCCACTTCACCCCCAGTCATCCAGGACTGCCCCGAGTATCCCCTAAAGAACTCCTCTGTTTCCCAAACCTGCCTGGGAGGGACAGGCGGCTGGGGGTTTCCTGTCTGGGCTGAGAGTGAAAGGGCTGAAAGAGGGAATGAGGAAGGAGCAGCCAGCAGCCACAAAAGGCTTCAAAGGGCTCGGGCCTCTGCCAAACAGGCTTCGCACAGCCCAGCGCAGCCTGGGCCAGGGCTCCCAGCACCGCCCTCACCCTGTGGCCAAGGCCATTCATTCTCTGCCTCCCTCCCAGGAGCGCTAGGAGGCCAGGGCATGGGACGCAGCTTCCCTGCAACTCTGGGTCGTGCCACCCAAGGCGTGAGCTCTGGGAACATGTCCGCCCCCTGCCACAGCCAGAGCGGACAATGGGCAAAGCGGACCAACCCTGACCTTCCTTTCAGCTGGGACAAGGATTTTGACTCAGCCGTGACCTCCGGGGGTTCACAGTTGGAAAGAAATGTGGGTCATAAATAGGGAAACTGAAGCTCAAAGAGAGCCAGAGAGTGGAGAAGATACTATTCAGGGTCCACTTAGGTCCCTGACTGACCTGGGAGGCCACCTGGAGCTGGGAAGACCCCATTCGTTAAGGGGAGAAGAGAGAAGGAAGGCCAAGCGCCCAGGCTCCCTATCAGCACCGTTGGAATGGGGGTGGGGGTGGGGAAGGAATGAGGCTATGCACTCTGGGGAGATTCTGCTCCTGGCTGAGCCTATGGGTGGGCTGTGGGGCCAAGATTTGTGCTAACGTCTAGGTTTCTGTGCTTGCTGGGACTGTTCTCATGTTCTGGTATCTGTGAACCCCTAGGATGGTGTTCCCCGGCATTTCCTTGCCCCTTGGAATTCTTTACAGGACACCTCCCGTCTGGCACGAGTAGCTCCCGAGTTCGCGAGCCCCCGGGGGAACTGTGCCCACCCAGAAATCCATGCGCTCCACCTCAGTACCCCCGGCTCAGTTCGGAGCCCGTTGCTGGGACCGGGTGCTTGAAGTCCGCGGGACTGCCGGGAGATGCAACTGACCTTGGCGGGCATCAGAATGATGAGTGGCAGCAGCAGTATTGGGGTGACGAACAAGATCACGAAGGACTTGAACTTGTAGACAAAGCTCAGTGCCGAAGCCATCGTGCTGGAGGGAGATAGGCGGGAGAGGCTTGTGAGGGGCAGCCAGAGGCTCCGCGGGCTTAAGAAGGGGCCACAGTCCGGGGGAAGCGGGCGGGGGGGGGGGAGAAGCAACTCCGCCCCCCACGGTGGGGCCTCCGCAAGGCCGGGGGGCGGGGCCACCCCGCGGGGTCCGTAGGGCCCGCCTGCCCCCAACTCTGCCACCCCGCGGTGGCTAGAGGCTCCTGCGGACTGCGGCGCTTCGGACCCGCCCTCCAGAAGTGGCCGAGGCCCGGGCACTCTCCAAGTCTTTCCAGTGCTGCCCTGGACAGAGGCGCGGCCCTGGGCTGCCCGGCGCGCTGTGACCGAGCATTCATTTCAGCTTTGGCGTGTGGCACCCCCTTGTCGGTCCTCACCTATCCTTCCTGCGCGCTGCAGGGGTCCCAGGTGAAAGTCTCCGCATGCCCTGGGGTCTCTCAGATCTAAACCAGCCCAGTCTCTCTCTTCTTTTCACTTATTACTTCCGTCCTTCGCACCCACCCCTCGGAGGGGTCTCTAGCAGAGGTGACGACCGTGTCCCTCGCCTCCCCACAACACGCCTCCCTTTTCCGCGTCTCCCTGGCCTCCCCGAAGCGTCCGTGTGTCTCTGGGCAACGGGACCTCTTCCTGCGCGCGAGCCCTCTACTCGGCGCGTCCCGGAGCTCTTCCGCTATCTCAAAGGGGGCACGGCTGCCGTCCTGCTCGGGCTGCGCGCTTTCAGCTCCCTTGCGCTCGCCCGCGTAGCCTGCCCGCCCGCCCGCCAGCCGACAGGAGCAATGACTTTGGTGGGCATCAGCATAATGGGTGCTCCCCTTGGGGGTGGACTGAGCCCCAGCAATCGCCGCTTCCCTCCTGACCAAGGTTGCTACTGCCATTTTAGGAAGGGAAACAGGCCCAGCAAGGAATGGACTTAACCAAGGCTACACTGAAAGGGCCATTCATTCATTTGGCCACCTGCCAACAAGTACTGAGTACCTATTCTGTGCTCAGCCCTGCTTTGGGTGCTGGAAATAATGAGGATGCGGACATTGCCACCTCTGTCACTTTCTTTTTTCTTTCTTTCTCCTCTTCGGCCTGCCTGTCTTCTCATTCTGCAGCTTTCTTTTGGGGCATCTTAGGCCTGCCATAGGTTTAACTGCAGCTTGCTCCTTTGTAATTACCACCCTATCTTCAACCCAGCCATGATGTGCGAGCCCCAGATCTCCATTATTTCCATTCTTTTTTTTTAAAAAAAATATTGTTATTCTATTACAGTTGTCCCATTTTCCCCTTGCCCTCCTCCACCCAGCCTCCCCCCACAGTCAATCCCCATGTTGTCCGTGTCCATGGGTCATTAACGCATGTTCTTTGACTAGAGTCCCTTCCCTTTCTTTCTATTCTTATCCCCCTTCCTCCTCCCCTCTGGTCACTGTCAGTCTGTTCCATGTTTCCATGCCTCTGGTTCTATTTTGCTTGTTACTTTATTTTGTTCATTAGGTTCATATAGGTGAGATCATATGGTATTTGTGTTCCACCAACTGGCTTATTTCACTTATGTAATAGTCTCCAGCTCCAGGCTGTCGCAAAAGATAGGAGTTCTTTCTTTCTGCTGCATAGTATTCCATCGTGTAAATGTACCACAGTTTGTGATCCATGTATTTAGTGATGGGCACTTAGACTGTTTCCAGCACTTGGCTATTGTAAATAGCACTGCTATGATCATAAGGGTGTGTAAGTTCTTTTGAATTGGTGTTTTGAAATTCTTAGGGCATATTCCCAGCAGTGGGATTGCTGGATCAAAAGACAGAACTAGGGCTCCCTTTTCTCCACATCCACGCCAGCACTTGTTTGATGGTTTAATGATGGCCATTCTGACCGGTGTGAGGTGATATCTCATTGTGGTTTTAATTTGCATCTCTCTGATGGCTAGTAATGCTGAGCACTTTTTCATATGCCAATGAGCCATCTGTATATCCTCCTTGAAGAAGTGTCTATTCAGTTCCTTTGCCCATTTTTTATTGGGTTGTTTGTCTTCCTGTTGTTAAGTAGAATGAGTTCTTTATATATTTTGGAGATCAAACTCTTGTCCAAGGTATCATTGGCAAATATGTTCTCCCATACAGTAGGTTCCCTTTTCATTTTGATGATGGTTTCCTTAGCCATGCAGAAGCTGTTAAATATAATGTAGTCCCATTTGTTTATTTTTTTCCTTTATTTTCCTTGCCCTAGGAGATATATTGGCAAAAAATACTGCTATGTGGGATATCTTAAATTTTACTGCCTATATTTTCCTCTAGGATTTTTATGGTGTTATGACTTAAATTTAAGTCTTTTTATCCATCTTGAGTTTGTTTTTGTGTACGGTGTAAGATGGTGGTCTGGTTTCAATTTTTTTTGCATGTGCCAGACAAGTTCTCCCAACATCATTTACTGAAGAGGCTATTTTTACTCCATTGTATGATCCTGCCCCCTTTGTCCAATATTAATTGACCTTAGAGACACGGGTTTATTTCTGGACTCTGTATTCGGTTCCATTGATCTATTTGTTTATTCTTATGCCAGTACAAGACTGTTTTGATTACAGTGGCCTTGTAGTATAGTTTGATATCAGGTATTGTGAGTCCCTCCTACTTTGTTCTTCTTTCTCAAGATTGTTATGGCTATTCAGGGTCTTTTTTGGTTCCATGTAATTTTTTGAAGCATTTGTTCTAGATCTGTAAAAGATGCCATTGGTATTTTAATAGGAATTGTGTTGAATCTGTAGATTGCTTTGGGTAGTATGGACAGTTTAATGACTTTAATTCTTCCAATCCATGAACACAGTATAAGCTTCCATTTATTTGTATCTTCCTTAATTTCTTTCTTCAGTGTCCTACAGTTCTCTGAATATAGGTCTTTTACCTACTTGGTTAAGTTTGTTCCTAGGTACTTCATTATTCTTGTTGCTATAGTAAATTATATTTTTTCTAGTTTCTCTTTCTGATATTTCATTGTTGGGGTACAGAAATGCCATCAATTTTTGAATATTGGCTTTGTATCCCGCTATTTTGCCAAATTCACTTATCAGGGCAAAGTAGTTTTTTTGTAGAGACTATAGGGTTTTCTATGTGCACTGTCATGTTGTCTGCAAATAGACAGTTTTACTTTCATCTTTCCTATTTGGATGCCTTTTATTTCTTTATCTTGCCTGATTGCTGTGGCTAGAACTTCCAGTGCTATGTTGAAAAGGAGTGGTGAAAGCGGACAGCCTTGTCTTGTTCCTGATCTTAAGGGGAAAGCTTTTAGTTTTTGCTTGTTGAGTGTGATGGTGGCTGTAGGTCTCTCATACATGGCCATTATTATTATCATATATCCCAGTTTGCTGAGTGTTTTTATCAATATAGGTGCTGAATTTTATAAAGTGCTTTTTCAGCATGTATTGATATGATCATGTGATTTTTGTCCTTCATCCTTTTTTTAACCTGGCTAGGCCTCAGTCCTTAAAACTCAGCATATCCTTCCTAAGTCAAGTTCATGACTCTCTCTTCCTGGAACTTCCACCTAAGAACACATATTTCCCCAGACCCTCCCTGTATCTGCCTGCCTATGCTTTTCCCCCTTTGTAATTTTCTCATCTAACCCTAGATTTCCCTCCCCCATCCCCATCCCAGGGCAGTTAGCACTGTTTGTACCTATATATTTAGAGTGTGATTTTTACTTAATGTCTGTTTTATTTGATACCATCTGTTCAACCAGCACCCTTTGCAGTGCTGATCCAGTACGTGCATTCAAAACGTCTTCTCTGGGCTGTGTGAATGGATACATGTGAACCACTTTAGTGCAGTAACACTTCAGTACAATAACACAGTCAGAGCCCTGGCTCTGGAGCCAGACTGCCCGGACCCACACCCTGGCCCTGTCCCATCCTGGCCACGTGCCTTAGCCAAGTTGCCTTCTCTGAGCTCATTTTTTCATAAGTGGAGATAATAACACCAAATTTGATTTCAAGAGGTTTATTTGTAGATTATATGAATTAATGCTCAGGGAGTGCTTAACATAATACTCTGGCGTATAGTCAGCCATCAGCAAATATTTCCATTTGCAATTATATGCAAAATACTCTCAGTGTCAGGAGCCACAGGAGAAGCCTTCCCCCAGGAGGTGGCATTTGAACTGAGACTGCAAGGCTAAGTAAAAGTGTGTCAGGCAGTGGAAGCTAGCTAAAGTCACCAATGAATTAAAAAAGTATTAAATTTGTTGAGGGAAATAATCGCAAGATACTTCAGGAATACCAGAGACTAAAGCACAGCAAAACAACAAAAGCTGAATACATGGGAGAGTATACCAAGTTTGTGGGTAGGGAGACTCAATACTGTAATGATTTTCATCCCTCCCAAATTTACAGATTCTTTTCAATTCCAATAAAGTTCCCAGAGAATTTTTATTTGACAAGCTAAACCTAAAATTCAAACTTTTGCAAGGAGCCAGGAATAGTTAAGACATTCCTGGAAAAGTGTGTGTGGGGGGGTGAGAATTACCTACCAGAATTCAAGATTCACACTTACAGTAAATATCCTAAAAATAGACCCATGCTTCCGTGGAAACTCAATACACAAAGGAGATTGCGTGGACTAGTTGATGCCTACTGGCAGCTGCTGGACCAGTTGGTGTTTAGCAGTAGAGATGTTTTTCTTTCACTAAATATGTTAAACACATAAGAAAAGTTTGATCATAATATGTAATGAATTAATAAAGTTACTTCTGCTTTTTTAAATCATGAATCATTTCATTATTCCCAAAAGGTGAAATTGGAGTTCAATTTATGCATGTCAATTTGTTTACCAAAGAAATGCTCTGCTTTTATCATACTCCCACATGACAAATAACTTATCAGTTTAGCCACATATTATATTGCAGGATCACAAATGAAGTAATGAAAAAGAGCCTGTCAATTTACATCTGGTATTGATTAACTTACCATAAAGTGGGTAATTAGGCGTCAATCATATTATCTTACGTGGCTGCTTTGAGTAACCTGCCATCAGGATGTCTTCTATATTCTGTTTCTCAGCTTTTAAAA